GGCTGGGCTCACGTGGACCCCCAGGCACCAGGCAGGCGGCCGGTTACACGGTCAGGTGCTGGAGGCTGGGCTCACGCGGACCCCCAGGCACCAGGCAGGCGGCCGGTCAGGTGCTGGAGGCTGGGCTCACGTGGACCCCCAGGCACCAGGCAGGCGGCCAGTTACACGGTCAGGTGCTGGAGGCTGGGCCCACGCGGACCCCCAGGCACCAGGTAGGCGGCCGGTTACACGGTCAGGTGCTGGAGGCTGGGCTCACGTGGACCCCCAGGCACCAGGCAGGCGGCCGGGCAGGTGCTGGAGGCTGGGCTCACGTGGACCCACAGGCACCAGGCAGGCGGCCGGGCAGGTGCTGGAGGCTGGGCTCACGTGGACCCCCAGGCACCAGGCAGGCGGCCGGTCAGGTGCTGGAGGCTGGGCTCACGTGGGCCTCCAGGCACCAGGCAGGAGGGCGGTCAGGTGCTGGAGGCTGAGCTCACGTGGACCCCCAGGCACCAGGCAGGCGGCCGGGCAGGTGCTGGAGGCTGGGCTCACGTGGCAAGCATTACTAGACGCGGGCGTTGATGAGGTTGACGCGGGCGCTGATGAGGTGCGCACCAGGTGTCGAGCTGTGCAGTTTTTTTTCCTAAAAAGCGGTTAATAAAAAGTATTTGCATAATCAATAGACCATGATAAAATTCCATGAAGTTAATGTCGTGATATTTTTGTGTTCATACCTGGGTGGAGATGAGCAGAAAGGAAAAATAGCTGCATGTCCAGGGTCCCGTTTTGTATAACATACTCTCCTCACTAAATTAGTCGTACTTATACACGTCCTTTACCGTTTATACTGTGACGGGCAGGTTAAACTGGTCAAATGCTAAACACAAAGCTTACTTTCTAAGCACGGTGTCTAATCTTTCAACTACCGACGGGATAGGGGGCGTCACTTAATACGCCAATTGATCAGGACAAAAGCGGCTTTCACACGCTAGTGCAGGGACTAAGCTTAACGAGTTAGCGCTCTAACACGAAAAGATAACGGACTTAACATAGTCTGAGACCATTTCTGGTTTCAGTGCACCGAAATGCATCGGATCAGACTCTTCTTACTGTCAGTTTAGGTCCGAGGACCGCACCGAGTTATGACGACCCTGCGGCTAGCGGGAACCGGACCTAAGTTCATGGGTGCTACTTTTTTGGACATTTTGTTCTCAGGAAAGCAACACATCCCGACAACATCAATCACTCCTGAGATTTTCCTCTTCACGCTAGGCAAAAGAATAGTCGGGACCACAGACCTCTCTATATGCCTTAGGGAAGAAGGAGGGAGAAGAGAAGTAGATAATTGTAAGGATAGAACAGTATAGAACAAGTTGTAGTAGACATGTCTATGCCGGGACACATGGGAAGTCCGATCCGAGGTAATGTTCCGCAGACAAGATTGTATAATCGTTCAGTGCTAGGACTCTTTAAGTATATTCAGCCGATGCACAAAATTCTGGTCTGACTTCAAGGTGAGCCAGTGACATTTAAAGGTCACACGCCAAACGTTTTTGAAGAGTACTGACCTCGCACCCAACATTTAATCGTCTTCAGGTTAAACAACTTCTAAATGGTGTCGTCGCAGCGTTGTCCTCGTCCATACTGTGGTCACTTGCCTGACACCCACGCCCGCAGCCGGGCTACATCCTGCGCCGGACTGTTGTAAAACAGGCATGGCGGCTTAGCAACGTGGCTTACCCCTGAACAGGACCACTGGCGGCGTCGCTTAGATCCGAGTCCAGCAGCCTTTTAATCCCGCCTCTCCGACCGGTTGACATTATGCAGCATGAACAAATGGATCCCCCAAGAGCTCTGACGCACGCAGCGCTCATCGATCATGTGAGTGGATGCCAGATGTGGGCATAGAATCATAAAAGATCTGCGTAAAATGCTTTGATATATACTGGATCTTTCCACATTCTTCCGTAAGATTTCTGAGCATATACTGAATCATTCATTATTCTTCCCAACATTTTGCAGAGATCCTGGATATCATGCGGCTTCTTGGAGGCTTAGAATGATCTTGAATACTTGCTGGACTCTCGGAAAATGCATGAAGGTTTTCATTTGCACGTGGATCCAGTGACAAACAAAAAATATTATCCAGAATCGCATGAAATAGTTATCCTTACGGATCCTAAGACATTTCTTTACGAATAAAAGCCTCTGCTCCATTTGCCATATATTCAGGCCAGGATGGCTACCCCCCCCCCCCCCCCTAAACGTACCGGCTTTTCGTGTCTCATGAAATTCATCATCTCATCATCCAAGCCACATCAAGAGTTGCATACAATAGTTGTCTTTGTGGATCCTAAAGCAGTCCCCTACAAATGAAAAACTTTTGCTCTATTTGCTGGAAATTTTCAGGCTGAGGTGACTAACCCGTCCCCCCCAAATGCACCGGTTTCTTCTGCCTCATTATCATACTCCCTCAGCTAGAGCGAAGCAATCTGGTGACATAGTCCGTCAACATGACGCATCTGCACGACATTGTGTCACCTGAAATCTTCCAGGAACGACCGCAGGCTTGATTTGTATGCGTATGCTTGATTGACATGACAAATCACGGCTTATCAAGTCATGTATTGGCAGATTTCCTTCCAGCACTAAACGTCGATGTTCAGCTGAGACAGTCCTTTACATCTCTAACCTTGCCATGAAAGATTAAGTACCACGCCTCTTGAAGACTTTGGATGGACATAGCGAATATACAGGCATTGTATGCTGCGCTCCATTATAATTGTGTATGAAGAGGATATGCCATCATGTTTTGCTAACATAAATGCAAATCAGTTTCGATGGTAAATTCAGTTTAGGTGTGTTGGTAGGATAGATTTGATGCTACTGTCCGCCCTACATCCGGTGATAGATGCATGGATGTTGCAGAAGCGGATGAAGATGAAATTGGGGTGGATCCAGAGAAACTGTTGATAGATGATGTCTCAAATCTCAAATTCCATGATATCACCAGTGTTCAAATGCAGCACGGTCAAAACTGCAAAGTGGTAGGAGCGGTGCAAGTTACGGAAATACGAGGGAGGTATGGCAATGGCTGTGATATGTATTTTGATCAGCGCTCTGTCAGACATGCGTTTTCCCAAACAGCGTCGTACATCTTACAGTCGCCACTGGTCCCTGATAAGGGTAGAAGGCAATATGCTAGTATTTGCTTTTTGATACACTATTAAACATCATTGCTTGCACAGATCTATAATGTTCAAGATATTTCGTCCGCCACTAAAGTAAAAATATATTCTTCGCATGCCTATAGACACGCTGCGGCCGCAGCATTAATACACAAAACAGCAGAAGGCGTATAATATCTGAATGTTTAATATGTAAATATCTGAATGTTTCATTTAGGTGAGACAGCGAGACAAGAGAACTTGTCTTACTCTTTGAGCTTCTGAACGCGGCATGGATGTTTTTTAAATGAGATTGGATTCTAAAGAAAAAGTTACTTCAGACCGCAATATTTCGTTCGAGGCCTGACCCGCCGAAGGCGTAGACCGCTGCCAGGAGGATTCGATATCGTAGAGATCGGAATTATACACTGCATAGATCACAAACGACGGTCTCCGTGCAAAGTAGGGATAGGGTTTTCCGACGGTGCTCGAATCAGGCAGCATTTTGTCCCACTGAAGGCACCTTGTAAAGCTTAAATCTGCTAAAATTTAGTTTTGAAAACGAGGCAGTCACCATGCACGTTGCCAAAACTACTCTACAGTGTCTGACGTCACTATGCACGCTACTACTACTACACTTAATACACTACTATTAGTGTGTATTAAGTGTGTTTTACTCACACCATGGGTTTGGCTACTAGGCAGCGACTTTGAAAACTTGGTGTCAGAGAGGAGATAAAGCAGAGCTGTCGTAATTGAGGCACCCTCATCCAACACAAAACTGTCTGCCAAAGTGGATCCCAGAATATTTTACGACAAAATCCAACCGATCCTGAAATAAATTCCGAACAAAATATGCCAAGGACCTTGCACTTCTTATCAACATCTGCTAAAAACTCGGATCTCAGTATATGTTTTGAAAACAAATGTGCAATAGATATTGGATACTGTAGATCTGTAATCTCTAGGCGTTTTGTTGGTACTCACATGCAAAGATGTTCAACTACGAAATACAGAGCCAAGTAAGCTGAATATGGTTAGCAACAGCAGCAAACATGATTCTGAGAACACGAGGGAAAAGTTTTTGTGGGATGGAGCTTAGCACGCTCGGCAATTCAGCGAAGTCCGAAAAAGGACACATGGCAATTGGAAAACGGTTCCAGGGCGTCCATCTTTAGTCATGCACCTGAATACATAGCTGAAGCAGTTACTCAAAACAAGTGGGAGCCCTTCAATTTCTGAACAACGCTCAAATCTTAAAAAAAACACTGAACAAAACAAAAACTATTTCGCGCACCAGGTCTTCGCAGAAACGACTGACGTCTACTGGTCATGTTACTTACTTCGCTCGCAGTTTAATTTGAGGTTCATGATCTGACGTGATTGCAGCGCCATTGCGACATTTATCTCTGTCTGCATTTGTATAACGCCTTGAATGTTTTGAAAAGTGTGCGCAAATCTTACATAGTTTTACCATGTCAACCAGCTTGCGTCGAATGTACTCCTGGTTTCCACCACTGTGAACGCTGCTACGTCACGCGCCGAATAGCGCCTGCTTACGATGTATTTGGCTCTCTCTCCTCTCTCCCCCCCTCTCTCTCTCTCTCTCTCTCTCTCTCTCTCTCTCTCTCTCTCTCTCTCCTCTCTCTTTCTCTCTCTCTCTCTCTCTCTCTCTCTCTCTCTCTCTCTCTCTCTCTCTCTCTCTCTCTCTCTCTCTCTCTCTCTCTCTCTCTCTCTCTCTCTCTCTCTCTCTCTCTCTCTCTCTCTCTCTCTCTCTCTCTCTCTCTCTCTCTCTCTCTCCCTCTCTCTCTCTCTCTCTCTCTCTTTTTCATCTGTAAAACATCTGCATCAAGTGACTATGTCGTTATGTATTGACTGCTCCTATCTGCGGGGCCAGTCCACTCCAGTATGAGCGCTAAAACGGCGATGAGTTCATAAAGCAAGGCCAGGACGCCAAGCAGAATGGTTGGGGCAACATAAATCACAGCACAGGTGCCTGGGGATCGACAGGGGCCTGGGGCAGGTCATCGGCCTCGATGTGCAGACCCGTGTCGTCGGTGAAGTAGCGCCTCTTGACGAACGTGCCGTCGTCCAGTGGGAAGCTGCAGCAAACAGGGCGCATCGTTAGCGACCTCAGAACGAAGACCCGAGGCTATCAACAGCATAGCGTCGTCGACAGAGGAGCGGCGGCCTAAATGGCCGATTATCATCGGAAGGCCAGCCTAAATGGCCGATTATCATCGGAAGGCCAGTACAGAGCTGCGTTGAGCAAGGATCTACTAGCTGCGCGATTGCAGCTGGCGATTCAGCTCCTTTAACGGTAGTTTACTCATACTTCCCAGAGGAGTGTGCCGCGCGCAGCCACGGCAGGCACGTCGGGGCATTGCTTGGCCGTACCAGAGCGGGCCTCACCCCCGCGCGCGACCTGTGGTGACTGCAGTGAGAATATGTCCACCCGACTCACCTGAATACGCCTGTGTAGAAGGGCACCACGCGCGTGACGATGTTGCCGTCCTCGTCGGTCGCCTGCACTTCCTTCAGCTCGATCGTCTCGTCGTGACTGATGCCGTTGTCAGCCGTGTACCTGCCGCAGGTGAACGGTTAGCATGTGCTCACCAGCCGTGTACCTGCCGCAGGTGAACGGTTAGCATGTGCTCACCAGCCGTGTACCTGCCGCAGGTGAACGGTTAGCATGTGCTCACCAGCCGTGTACCTGCCGCAGGTGAACGGTTAGCATGTGCTCACCAGCCGTGTACCTGCCGCAGGTGAACGGTTAGCATGTGCTCACCAGCCGTGTACCTGCCGCAGGTGAACGGTTAGCATGTGCTCACCACAGCCGTGTACCTGCCGCAGGTTGAACGGTTAGCATGTGCTCACCAGCCGTGTACCCTGCCGCATGTGAACGGTTAGCAATAGTGCTCACCCAGCCGTGTACCTGCCGCAGGTGAACGGTTAGCATTGCTCACCAGCCGTGTACCTGCCGCAGGTGAACGGTTAGCATGTGCTCACCAGCCGTGTACCTGCCGCAGGTGAACGGTTAGCATGTGCTCACCAGCCGTGTACCTGCCGCAGGTGAACGGTTAGCATGTGCTCACCAGCCGTGTACCTGCTGCAGGTGAACGGTCAGCTATGTGTTCAGCAGCCGTGTACGCCACACACGTGAGCGAGCGCTGGTGCGGCCGGCGACGCCGGCTGTGGGCGTCGGCGCCTGGGACGGCAGGCGACTGCGCAGCATCACGCGGACAGCTATGAGTAGCTTACAGTTTGCACGCTTTGCTGTCAGATTGTGCACGATGCGTCGCAAACTTGCGCACTCAAATGTATGCGCAGCGAAACGGTTAGACATTTACGTAACTGACTCGTTCCTCCCACGAACGCATGCCACATGTCCGGGGTGTACACGACAGCACCACGCACGCCACGGGTCAGGTTCGGCCCGACACCAACTCACGAGTTCTCGTTGCTTCCGTCCTCCTTGTTTTCATTCTTGAAGGTGAGGATTTGGGCCTCCCGGTCGCGAACGCGGTTAGCAACCGCATCCTGCGGCCGCGCCGCGACGACAGCCAACAGACAGGCGAGGATGGCCTGCGACGTACGGCACGTCAGTGGCGCAGCCGGAGAGACGGGGCACGTCAGTGGCGCAGCCGGAGAGACAGGGTACGTCAGTAGCGCCGCCGGCGACACGGGGTACGTCAGTAGCGCAGCCAGTGACACGTGGCGCGTCAGTGGCGCAGCCGGCGACACGGAGCTCGTCAGTGGCCGCAGCCGGCGACACGGGGCTCGTCAGTGGCCGCAGCAGGCGACACGGGGCCCGTCAGTGACACAGCAGGCGACACGGGGCTCGTCAGTGACACAGCAGGCGACACGGGGCTCGTCAGTGACACAGCCGGCGACACGGGGCTCGTCAGCGACACAGCAGGCGACACGGGGCTCGTCAGTGACACAGCCGGCGACACGGGGCTCGTCAGTGACACAGCCGGCGACACGGGGCTCGTCAGTAACACAGCCGGCGACACGGGGCTCGTCAGTGACACAGCCGGCGACACGGGGCTCGTCAGCGGTCGCAGCTGGCGACACGGGGCTCGTCAGTGACACAGCCGGCGACACGGGGCTCGTCAGCGGTCGCAGCTGGCGACACGGGGCTCGTCAGTGACACAGCCGGCGACACGGGGCTCGTCAGTGACACAGCCGGCGACACGGGGCTCGTCAGTGACACAGCCGGCGACACGGGGCTCGTCAGCGGTCGCAGCTGGCGACACGGGGCTCGTCAGTGACACAGCCGGCGACACGGGGCTCGTCAGCGGCCGCAGCTGGCGACACGGGGCTCGTCAGCGGCCGCAGCCGGCCGCTCCGGATCTCGTCCGCCACATTATTATTTCGTCGGCGCCACCGAGGTGACCGGCTTCCCAGTTACCGACACCAGTTGCCATTTCAGCACATATGTAACCGATTGCACGATTGTGGACTGTCATTGATCAAGAGTGCAGATCATCAAGCCTATAACACCACTTGCACGACGGGTCAAAAGACAGCTGAAATTTTGCCTGTTTGTTTGTCACGCAGCATAAGCTGCGGATCATGCCTGGTTGTGAAAATGAGCTACGCCATTTACCGACGCAGAGGATTGAACTGAGATTACCATTCCCGCAGCATTCATCAATGAGCGAGAAACGCGCCACCCCCGTCAGAAGAAGCCCCAGTCCTGGCGCGCCCTGCACGTACCAGCTTCATGACGAGTCCGGCGGTGCTCCAGGCAGCAGAAGTGGTGAGGTGTCGGCCGGCACCGCCGTTTTATAAGGGGGCGGCCGGCGGGAGGAGCCGGGGCCAGCGCGGGAGGAGTCCGGGGTCGGCGGCACACGGCAGACCGGCGCCTTTCACCCGACCTTCTGCCGACCCGTCCGACCTGTTCCGACCGCCGAGCACATGACCACGTGCACGGCGTGCTGGCCAGGTACGGGTACGGCCGCCACGTGGCGGCGCGGAGAAATGCATCCGAGTGAGAAACGCACTCTGCCACTGAGAGCTCGGAGGCACACTGTCGGCGAAATATGGATGGAGTGCCACTCGCTGCGTACCCTGATTTAGAGCCGTCAGATTATGACAAGCGCTCATTGACAATGAATGGGAGGTCAGGCGGACCTTAGTGTTAGTTCTTTCTTAACCAGGGCGAGCAGCTGCAATGGTTCCGCCACTCAGAAAACGTCAAACGTTCTTGTAACATTTTGGTATTAGCAAGGTGTGGTAGAAGACGGGGCAGGGGTAAATGCACCAGAACTTTGGAAACTTAAGCAACATGTAATAATATATATATATATATATATATATATATATATATATATATATATATGTATGTATATATATACCAATGGAGATGTGTGGAAACAAGAGATCCAAAACGTTCAATTACCATTCGTTTCCCCACCCAAACAGTTTTATTTCCGCTCCATAGAGCGTAACGGAGACCGGCTGGAAAAAAACAGATTCCATGTAAATCAGAATGTACGGCAAATTCTCACGCACATATGCAGCGGTGCCCTTTTGGAATGCTCATTCCCTCTAGCCCTAGCTCACATCATATCTACACATATATTTTGCCTCCCACCGTTTGATGCAGCAGCACAAAATTGCGGGGTGTGTTATGAAATTTGAATACACATGTTGCGCCAGAATATAAAATAAATCGGTATTGTGAGGCGGTTCGTAGTGTTTATTTTGGCACACAATCTGCTGTGTGAAGAGGTTATCAAACGACATGTTATAGTGCGCAGTTCCGTTGCACATTAGCGCAAAATAAACCTCGCAGAATCATACATGTAGTCCCGTAGATTATAGATACTAAGTGTGTACCGATGTATTTTGGCAGACACGCGCTCAGCAGCCGAAAAAATGAGGGACCACACCAGTGCATTGCTTGCAGGTTTTTTTTGCCTACATGTGCTACCAGCACGTATTAAAATCTCTTCCATAATGCGCGCAATGTCATATTTTCAAAACAAAAATATTCCCAAGAGAAGAGCTCTGCTTACCTTATTCCTTATCCATGGCTGAAGAGAAGGTGACAAGATGCACGGATATTTCGGCCGTAAACCTTCGGCGAAACGGTGCAATAAACGTACGTGCACTGAATTCGGCCTGGCTGCGTTTTCCATTAGATTATACGGAGTTTTTGTTGTTGAAAAAGTGAGCAAAATTGTAATAGGTCACTTGCACTTCGGAGATTAGGCAGGAATTCACTGCCAACCACCATTCCAAATGCGAGTGGTCCGGTTGCCGTGTGACTGCCCACGCCCCACGTGCTCTGGACATCCATACCTCTGTCACTCTGGACATCCATACCTCTGTCACTCTGGACATCCATACCTCTGTCAAAAATATCCCTAAAGTCGTAGATAGTAGACATTACCCAATACCATTACGTAAGTTGGTCAGTGCATTAGCGAGTAATATTATTCACATAGATAAGACAGTAGTATTAAACTTACTACTCGGAAAAGCCAAGAGCATGGAGATATAGTCAGGCTGATATTTTGGCAATATGCCTTTATCAAAACAATGGCGGAAGGCTTCTGTATCTTCAACTATATTTCCAACTATATCCACATTCTCCTGATTTTTCGGAGGAATAAGGTTTATACTACTGCCTTACCAATACCATTACCATTACTTTGTGCATGCTTTCGCTTTTTTGCTATTTCATGACATATGTTTATGTCATGTTTGCGCCATCACGGCATAGGAGGCTTGCATGTGTCACTATGTTTGAACAGCATTAAGCATGTGTCTAAGCATTTTTCACTTAGTGCAGGTTGGACGCGCAGAATTGCAGTGCAGACTTACACCACAGCTTGTGTTTTTTTCCACCGTCACTAGTGGATCCAAATATGGTACCCCTTTCGTCCCCGGTATGACTTATTATGAGAGGTTGAGATTCTGATTGTTCCTTGCTTCTAAAAATGTCAAGGGCACGCTACCCGTGCGTTCATATACCAGCACGATCATGAATACACTTAATATCTTCCTAAAACTAGGAGATTAGCCAGGGCCTTTTGCTATTAGTGACACGCACTGAGCCTTTCAGCCGTCATTTGAAATATTGTTTTAAGTCATTACCTGCATAGCCCCGAAATGCCGGCAATTCTTTAAAATTGTTCGGTCCTTGTTTTGAAAAAACTTAAACAAGATGTTGAGTAAGGCTGGAACTCACTGCAAATCCTTTAGTGCTGTACTTTTTATAACGTATCGGCAAAGGGCTGTGACCAAAGTATCAATATATTTCTATCTTTCCACCTTTTGCTTCATCAATTAGTATGAGAAAGCCAACAACTGTTCTTATGTAAATGCAACGTTTCTTGCAGTTGCGCTGAACAACTTTAGTAGTTATTTACCGCATAGCGGTGGTCAGAAAGTGCTTGTTAAAACTCTGAGCAACTCAGAAAGGCTACTCAGTGCTAGCTTGCATGCGCATTCATTTCTGAATTGCCTGCTGGAAGAACGATTTAGTTACACCTTTTATTTAATAGACACTGACGACACTTACATATATATATGTATACATATATATATATATATATATATATATATATATATATATATATATATATATATATATATGTCTCCCTAATTGCTAAATCCCATTAACTGCGCCCCTGCCTGGATGCGTAGGGGCGCAGGAAAATCTGGGGTGTGATTGATTCTTTTCCTCTCTTTTTTTGCGCGGCTGCATACGCTCATTGTCCGCGATGCGATAGTTTGGCAGCTAAACACATTTTTCCCCAATCGTTGCAAAACATGCTACGAAGATTCTGAGAACACGAAAGCCGCGCGACAGACAAACTTGATATCTTCGGTGGGATCGAACTGGCCACGTGAATCTCGGACCACGTGACGGGCAGGCGGCTGGAAATGACGCGAGAACGGCCGTCCTTCCAGTCGACTCGGCTGTCCACGGGATTGGTGGACCGTGCCGATCTGCTTTCTTGCACAGGAAAATGACCCTTGCTCTCATGTTGATTACAAAGTCCCGAGCTATCAAGACGGCATACCAAGGATAAACTCGAGTAATTGTGTAATGTTCCGCTCTCGACGGGGCGTCTCGAGACTAGTCACTATCTTGCACCCATAGTCTTGGTGTTGTGCAGATCAAATGGCCCTGAGTCCATCCAAAACAGTACGTCATATTTTGCACGCCTCAGCTGCAGCACCAGCCTTCAAACGTAATCCGAGGACAGTTAATGCGAAGGTAACCACAGCTAACCGTTTGAAAAAGAGCCTCACAGTAGATGCTACCCTTACCTGGTCGACACGCTGGCAAAAATTCGCACTAAGAGGGCAAACCATGCCACATGGTGCCCTGCCAGCATGGTGCACTGAGGGACAAACCATGTCACATGGTGCCCTGCCAGCATGGTGCACTGAGAGGACAAACCATGTCACATGGTGCCCTGCCAGCGTGGTGCACTGAGAGGACAAACCATGCCACATGGTGCCCTGCCAGCATGGTGCACTGAGGGGACGAACCATGCCACATGGTGCCCTGCCAGCATGGTGCACTGAGAGGACAAACCATGTCACATGGTGCCCTGCCAGCGTGGTGCACTGAGAGGACAAACCATGTCACATGGTGTTCTGCCAGCGTGGTGCGCAGCTCTGTGATATCTCTTTCAGGATATACCATGGAAATAGGGCACGGGAAACTGAGCTCCCAGCCTCACAAGTCGCGTTTTTGTGGCCCATTTTTGTTTTTTGAGTTTGTGCATTAGCTCAACGTTAGTTTTGCATGCCGTAACCAGTTTCAAAGCTATAACTTATAGTTCGAATCCAGTGGCATAAAGTAAGGAGTAACTATGTACTACTACGCACCTAGAATCATACTAGGTACCGGGAGCTTTTAAGAGCCGAACTACTTACTTCAGCAAGCATCCATCGGCTTCATAAGCACAGCTGATTTGGCCATGGAGTAGAAATTCACATCGAAATTAAAGAAAAATGACAAGGTGTTTTGCTTTGTCGTCGAATCAGCAGTGGTGATCATAAAGGAGCCAACGCATGGTCAAGAGCAAAGGAGTAGAACATTTATTCAGTAGACCGAGAATCAAGTTGCGGCGGTAAATTGCTGAGCAGTGAAGCGATGCCAATATATCAAGGGCAGACTTTGTACGTATGGCGGACGTTGTACGCATCTGTGAGAAAGTCAATGCAACTGCAGTTCGTATAGCAACTTTGCGACTTGGGCATCACAAACATAATGCGGTGGATGAAGATGTAAAGCCGGTATTAAAACATACCTTTTCCACATGTCGCGTATTTCAAGGGCTTATTTCTTCAATTTTGCATAACACAGACAGACATGATGTAAGTTCACAAAAGGTGAGACCCAGAAGGAAGATAGAGTAAATCATTTCGGTGAGCTTTTGTCGCTTAGGCGCTTCTTGCATGCACACGGAGTACAGGAAAGCTCAGCGTTTAGACATGCGTGGCACGTTTGTTTACTGCTGCGGGTAGCGGAACGATGTAAATAAGTACAGGATATTTGTATTTTAGCGAAATACAAAGGTGGTCGCTGTTGCTGCATGAATCAATCGTCTACACTATTCACAAACTTATTACTTTGTTAACTCATAAATGATGACATCTTTATCGTCACTGAGGCAATATTTCTGAATTAAAGAGGCATCCAAAACACCCGGGACCAAGACGACATAGTATGGTAACGCACGTATGTATTGCCGTTTGGGACACTGCAGCTTGCTCGGGCTCCTCCATCCATTGCTTCAGCCTTGGAATTTTAGGTTGGCTCCGCGAAGTGTTGCTAGGTTTAAAAAACCAGCG